GTACTTATATTTTAACCTGTAATGATGATGCACTGTGTTGTTTTTGTATATTATTGTATTTGAACACATGTTGTGAACTGGCCTGAGTCCCTCGTTCGAGGTGAGAAGACCGGTATATAAAACTTCTAAATAAATAAATAAATAAGGGATGGGGCCTGTCTTATTTCCCTTGGAAGGGTGTTCCAGAGGCGGGGGGCCACCACTGAGAAGGCCCTCTCTCTCGTCCCCAGCAACCGTGCTTGAGACAATAATGGGACTGAGAGGAGGGCTTCCCTGGAAGATCTTAGAGTTCGCGCCGGTTCATAGAAGGAGATGCGATCGCGGAGATAGGCGGGGCCCGAACTTTGTATCATGCACAAAACGTTTTTGAAAGATAACTTAAAGGTAACTTCATGTAATGTATATAAAGTGTACAGTAAACAGCAATGGTTTCCATGTTTAGATACTCAGTGCATGTTTTGCATGCCTGGTGTAGATAAGCACGCCCCTTCTCTTACTCACTCCTGATGTCTAGAGTAGTAAACACTTGGCTGCAACCATTGCAGTGCTTCCACGTAAAAACAGACTTCTGGGGACATGATGTTTTCCTGAATGTGGATGTAGTGAATTTTATGATCTATGTTGTATTTTTGGTGTGTAGCTCTAGGTTACAATATGGCTGATAGGGAAGAATTGGCTCAAATAGGGTAGCAACAGTGAAGGCAGGATTAATTTGCATATGTGAAGCCGATTGGTCGTATGCAGATGAGAGTATGCCAGGATTTGAAAAGGCTGCTGAGCCAGAATGGCAGTTACAGAACTGAACATTCTAAAGGGGCGGAGTCAAGTTTGAAAGAAGCAGTTAGAGTTTGTCAGTTAAAAAAAAAGTGGGGAGCAGTTAGAAACCTCGGTTAGAGAGAAGCAGTCAGGAAAATAGAGCTCAAGGTTTAAGGAAAAATAAGAAGGCGCCAGTGTGGCCTAAGTCAGAATATAGTTCAGCCAAGGGAATATGAAGAAAGTAACATATTTGTTGATGTGAGACAGTGAGGGTTTCATAAGAAAAGTTAACTGAGTGAATGATACTGAATGTAAGACTCGAGACTGTAACAAAACACAAATGTAACCATAAAGCATTGGAACCAGAAGCTATAAATAAACTTTGTTACTTTGTTGCTTACCGGAGTGTCTCAAGCCTGTGATATAAAGCACAAAGGTTTAACAGCTCACAAGAAAGCCCCAGCCAATTTAAAAGGGAAACTGCAGCAGTACAAGGCAGTAAAGGGATTTAGAAAGGAAATTATTTTTATTTATTTATTTATTTATTTCTTGCACTTATTGACCGCCACTCTCAGCCCTAGGGGCGACTCGTGGCGGTGAACAACAACATATAAAGACAGTGTACAAAAATCACGACAATACATACCAAAACTACTACTACAAACATATACTTATGCTAAAAATCCGCTTCGTCCAATCCTGGGGTCATAGTCAATGTTCGTAGTCGTAGTCCATTCTAACGTCGTTCCACAGATACACTTAGTTGAAGGCCTGCTCGCAGAGCCAAGTTTTCAGGCTCCTACGAAAGGCCATCAAGGAGGGCGCCTGTCTAACTTCCATAGGGAGGGTGTTCCACAACCGGGGGGCCACCACCGAGAAGGCCCTCTCTCTCGTCCCCACCAGACGTGCCTGTGAAGCGGGCGGGATCGAGAGAAGGGCCTCCCCGGACGATCTCAAGGTCCTCGTGGGCTCATAGGCCGAGATGCGGTCCGAAAGGTATTTTGGGCCGGAACCGTTTAGGGCTTTGTAGGCTAACACCAGCACCTTAAATTGGGCCCGGTAGCAAATCGGCAGCCAGTGGAGTTGGGACAACAGGGGCGTTGTATGCTCTCTGCGCCCTGCTCCTGTTAACAACATGGCTGCCGCGCGTTGGACTAGCTGAAGCTTCCGGGCCGTCTTCAAGGGCAGCCCCACGTAGAGAGCGTTGCAGTAGTCAAGGCGGGATGTGACCAGAGCGTGTACCACCGTGGCCAAGTCAGACTTCCCAAGGTACGGGCGCAGCTGGCGCACGAGCCTAAGCTGTGCAAATGCTCCCCTGGTCACCGCTGAAACCTGGGAATCCAGGCTCAATGATGAATCCAGGGTCACACCCAAGCTGCGAACCTGCGCCTTCAAGGGGAGTGCGACCCCGTCCAGCACAGGCTGTAACCCTATACCCTGTTCGGCCTTGCGACTGACCAGGAGTACCTCTGTCTTGTCTGGATTTAATTTCAGTTTGTTCGCCCTCATCCAGACCATTACAGCGGCCAGGCACCGGTTCAGGACCTCGACAGCCTCCTTAGTAGCAGGTGGGAAGGAGTGACAGAGTTGGACATCATCTGCGTACAGATGACACCGCACCCCGAAACTCTGGATGATCTCACCCAGCGGCTTCATGTAGATGTTAAACAGCATGGGGGACAGTATAGAGCCCTGAGGAACCCCACAAGACAAAGGTTGTGGGGTTGAACAGGAGTCTCCCAGTAACACCTTCTGAGACCGACCCTCGAGGAATGAGCGGAGCCACTGCAGAACAGTACCTCCAAGACCCATCCCCGCGAGGCGCCCCAGAAGGATACCGTGGTCGACGGTATCGAAGGCCGCTGAGAGGTCGAGCAGCACCAACAGGGACACACTCCCCCTGTCGAGCTCCCGACGCAGATCATCCACTAAGGCGACCAAGGCTGTCTCGGTACCATGCCCCGGCCTAAAGCCAGACTGTGCCGGATCCAGATAATCCGTGTCTACCAAGAATGCCTGGAGTTGTGAGGCCACCACACATTCCAGGACTTTGCCCAAAAAGGGGAGATTGGAAACAGGCCGATAGTTGACGAATTGAGTGGGGTCCAGTGATGGTTTCTTCAACAGCGGTTTTATTACAGCTTGCTTTAAGCTAGCTGGAATTTTGCCCTCCCGAAGGGAGGCATTAACCACCACCTTAACCCACTCGGCCAATCCCCCTCTGGCCTCCTTCAGAAGCCAGGATGGGCAGGGGTCTAGGATGGACGTGGTAGGTCTCATTCCTCCAAGTATCTTGTCCACATCCTCGGGCTTCACAAACTGAAAAGAATCCATCAAAATAGGACAAGCAGGTGCTTGTGTCACATCCACAGAGACTGCATTTAAAGTGGCGTCCAGCTCAGAACGGATCAAAGCGACTTTGTCTGCGAAGAACCGAGCAAATGCTTCACAGCGCGTGACCGAATTGTCAGGGCTCCCGCCTGAGGTGGCGGGAGTTAAAAGACCTCTGACAATCCGAAACAACTCCGCCGGACGGTTTTTTGCAGACGCAATAGTGGCCGCAAAGAAAGTTTTCTTTGCGGCTTTTATTGCCGCGGCATATGCCCTTAAAAAGGACACAAACCGTGTCCGATTTGGCTCGCTTGGATCTGAACGCCACACGCTCTCTAGTTCCCTCTTCTTTCGCTTCATCGCTGCCAGCTCCTCAGTGAACCAAGGGGCTGGTTTAGCTCGGTTACTTGAGAGGGGACGTTCCGGAGCGATCATGTCAATTGCCCTAGTCATCTCCCCATTCCAGAGAGCGACCAAGGCCTCGACATGATCACCTACCGAGGTGGCGGGAAACTCCCCAAGAGCCGTCAGGAATCCATTCGGATCCATTAGCCTCCTGGGGCGGACCATCTTAATGGGTCCTCCACCCCTGCGGAGGTTAGGGGGCGCAGTGAGTCTAAATCTAATCAGGAAGTGGTCGGTCCACGGCAACGGAGAGATGGCCAACTCCTCCACACCGCCACCCTGCTCCCATCCCTGGCAGAAAACCAAGTCCAATGTGTGTCCAGCACAGTGGGTGGGGCCAGTTATTTGTTGGGACAGCCCCATGGTTGCCATGGCAGACATGAAGTCCTGAGCCGCACCTGTGAGGGTTGTCTCGGCATGGATGTTGAAGTCCCCCAGCACAAGAAGCCGTTGGGACTCCACCACCAGGCTCGAGACCACCCCCACTAGCTCAGGTAGGGAGACTGCAGTGCAGTAGCCGTTGAGACTCCAACGCCAGGTCCGAGACCACCCCCGCTAGCTCAGTCAGGGAGTCTGTAGTGCAGCGAGGTGGGCGGTACACTAACAGAATCCCTAATCTGTCCCGGTCACCCACCCTCAGGTGGACGCATTCAAAATTTGTGGTCTGCGGGATGGGACTCCTGGTCAGATGGATGGAATCTCTATAGACCACTGCGACCCCGCCTCCCCGTCCTCCGGCTCTTGGTTGGTGTTGCACGGAGAAACCTGGAGGACAAAGCTGGGAGAGGTTTACGCCCCCCGCTTCATCCAGCCAGGTCTCCGTGATGCACGCCAGATCTGCCCGCTCTTCCAGGATTAAGTCCTGGATCCAGGTCGTTTTTCCGTTGACAGATCTGGCGTTCAACGCCAGATCTGCCCGCTCCTCCAGGATTAAGTCCTGAATCCAGGTCGTTTTTCCGTTGACAGATCTGGCGTTCAACAGCACCACCTTCAATCCCGAGGGCCCGCTCACCTGGTTACACCAATATACCTTAGGAGACCGGTTGGGAATTGTTAATTTAGATAAACGGTCCGAATTAGGCCGAATTCGAGGTCTCCTTCTTCCGCATCTCCTCCTTCCCACCACGACCTCTATGGGGGCCCCTCGGCTAGTGGAACACCTCCCCCCCTCCATGCCGCAGTCCAGAGCCAGGAGATTACATTCTACTGCGCTCATTGTTAGGTTTTCTAGTTCTTTCCAGCATCCCCTCTCTGCGGTAAAGGGATTTAGGAAGGAAATTCTTTTTCCCCTCACTGAGTCAAGAAGAAAGGCACCTGTAAAAGGACAGAAACAGAGTATGTCCCAGGTATTAAAGTGGCGACAGAAAACTACATATGTGGTGTGGCATCACGTATTCAGTTATGTGCCATGTTACGCCCCAGTGGGGTGTTTTGTAATCCCTGAGTGGCTGGTGGGACTCATGCAAGTATTCCTCTGTCCCCCTCCTTTCTTTCTTTGCATAGAACCATTCTCTTTGGAGCCGTGAATCTACTTTGGGATATTAAATGCACCAGAAGGCTGAGACCCCGAAACCCCCCGAAAAGAGTCCAGGATGTACTGGTGCGTGGGAACAGAGGACTCCGATGCTGAGAGCGAGAGCAACATGGCAGCTACAGAAGGTAAATCCAGCATCACATTAGGCTCCTTCTGACACAGATTCTCTTTTGCCAAAGGCACAACTCGGAGCACACACTGACCGTGACTAAAAATCATGGGAGAGAAAACCTTTGTCGACACATGGGCCCATTGCTCTGGGATGGAGTCTTTGTAAAGATATTCATGGCTTAAAAATACATATTTTTGATTAATGGGTAATATTAACTCATTATTCCTAAAATGCTGCTTTTTGAGAGGGTCACCTGATTGTTATTTGATGAAAACGTATTCTTTTTGAAAAAGAAAAATACTAAATTACTTTTAATAGTATGTTGTTAGGAAACCAGCCTTTTAACAGCAGGTATTGGGTAATGGCAATTTCTCCATATATTCGTGAGTACACCAGGGAAATTTAGTACTTAAATCAGTCTAAAAACATGGATTGACATATCCATGGGTCGGTGTGAGTAGCATACCTGGACTCTTATCCAGGAAGGGATCTGTTCCGTCTTCGAGGAGCATAGTTTGCATTACCTTTTAGTTGCATGGGATAGCATTCTTTTGCATTTCCCCAGGGTTGCTACAATCTTAGCTGCACTCTGAAAGTTAACAGCATTAGAGGCTAGAAAGCCAGCCTGCAGGCCCCTTTTGCAGCTATTGGTTTAGAAAGTATCTCTTTGGGTTTAGAGACCGCCCTTTTTCCAGGGGTTGAGATCTCCATTTTGGAATCTCCCCTGTCTCCTTCAGTAGGGAAAGAAAGCTTCAGATGTGCTGTTGGTTAGGCAGGTAACTCTGAAAAAACCATTGTAAGAACAATTGAGATACTGATTAAGATATAAGGAAGCTAATTGAGTTATAGATAATTGATTCTTAATTGAGTCTTTAAGATAGATAGATAGATAGATAGATAGATAGATAGATAGATAGATAGATAGATAGAGATCATAGAATCAGAATCATAGAATCAAAGAGTTGGAAGAGACCTCATGGTCCATCCAGTCCAACCCCCTGCCAAGAAGCAGGAATATTGCATTCAAATCACCCCTGACAGATGGCCATCCAGCCTCTGTTTAAAAGCTTCCAAAGAAGGAGCCTCCACCACACTCCAGGGCAGGAGTTCCACTGCTGAACGGCTCTCACAGTCAGGAAGTTCTTCCTAATGTTCAGATGGAATCTCCTTTCTTGTAGTTTGAAGCCATTGTTCCGCGTCCTAGTCTCCAGGGAAGCAGAAAACAAGCTTGCTCCCTCCTCCCTGTGGCTTCCTCTCACATATTTATACTTGGCTATCATAATCTCCTCTCAGCCTTCTCTTCTTCAGGCTAAACATGCCCAGATCTTTAAGCTGCTCCTCATAGGGCTTGTTCTCCAGACCCTTGATCATTTTAGTCGCCCTCCTCTGGACACATTCCAGCTTGTCAATATCTCTCTTGAATTGTGGTGCCCAGAATTGGGCACAATATTCCAGATGTGGTCTAACCAAAGCAGAATAGAGGGGTAGCATTACTTCCCTAGATCTAGACACTAGATAGGCTTATTAAGTCTTGATTGAGTTATTTAGAATTGAGTTATAGATAGATAGATAGGTATTGAGCACTGTTTGCTTCATCTCCAAAACTAACCTTGGGCTGGAATAGGGAAGGCCTACGCTTTCTAAAAGATAGTGGCTCAGGGTTGGGGTAAAAAGATCTCAGGATTTTTTCTACCATTTGGAGGAAGGCACCTCAGTAACAGAGGAAAGAAGGAAAGAAAGAACATTTCTATGGTTTCACCAATTGACTGTTTTGTTTGTAACTTTGCCAAGCTGTGCCAAGTCTGCAAGGACTTTGAGAAATAAATATTCTGTTTTGGTGTTCAAAACCTGTAGTAGCCTCAGTTGCTGGGAATCTCAAGCTTCTAAAGAAAGACCCCCGCGGTCCGCCCAGACAAAGAGAGAAGCACATCTTAGTTTTATTTTTATAGGGTCTGGGTGTGACGGCACAGGATCGCCCCCATCTCTTAATAGAAGGGTAGTAGGCAAGATTGTAGTCCATCCCAGAAGAACCTGTTGTTGTTCTTGTTGTTGTTGTTTTTGTTGTTAGCACCAGCCTACCATCAATAGGGTATAACAACAGAGGTTACAGCACACATGGGCCAACTTGGGCCCTCCAGATGTTTTGGATTTCAACTTCCACAATTCCTGGCCTCAGACCCTTCCCCCCCCCCCCCTTCCCCCCCCCCCCCTTTCCCCTTTCCTTTTCTGCTTAAGTGGCTGAGGGGGAAAAGGAAGGGATCTGAGGCCAGGAATTGTGGGAGTTGAAGTCCAAAACACCTGGACGGCCCAAGTTGGCCCATGCCTGGGTAACAGTATAGCATTTGGAGCTCTTGCTGTGGGTGCCGAGGTCTCTGTTTTTACTGCACTGGTACTATGTCTTCTGGGAAGGACCATTTGTTTCTCATGTATGTTCACAAAGCAGAATTAAGCTGTATTTCTTTTTTGCATACTGAAGGACTGTATTTTCTGCTATGTTTGGAGAAGACTATTTTATCTGCTGGAAAGAGTAAAGTGTTTTCTTTTTTGGGGGGCAAGCCTACTGCAACCCTGGTGTCATTTTGTCTTCAAACTGCAGCTGGACTTCAAGTTTAGCATTGAGAGAGGAGGATTGTTTCCCCAACACTACATGCAACAGTGTTTACTGCCCCAAAATCACTGCGCGAACCACCTTTGAATGGAGCCAGGAACCAAACGGGCCACCGGCAAAGCTGGTCCAAGCGCAACATGACCTGTCTTTTGGCTGTAGTTGAAAATGACTAGCAATACATGATCTAGAGCAGTGTTTCTCAACCTGGGGGTCGGGACCCCTGTGGGGGTCGCGAGGGGATGTCAGAGGGGTCGCCAAAGACCATCAGATAACTTAGTATTTCCTGTTGGTCATGGGAGTTCTGTGTGGAAAGTTTGGTCCAATTCTATCGTTGGTGGGGTTGAGAATACTATTTCATTGTGGGTGAACTATAAATCCCAACAACTACAACTCCCAAATGGTAAGGTCTATTTTCTCCAAACTCTACCAGTGTTCACATTTGGGCATATTGAGTATGTGTGCCAAGTTTGATCCAAATCCATCATTGCTTGAGTCCACAGTGTTCTCTGGGTGTAGGTGAACTACAACTCCAAAAACTCAAGGTCATTGTCCACCAGACCTTCCCAGTATTTTCTCTTGGTCATGGGAATTCTGTATGCCATGTTTGATTCAATTCCATCATTGATGGAGTTCAGAAGGCTCTTTGATTTAAGGTGAACTATAAATCCCAGCAACTCCAGCATTACCAAATGACAAAATCAATCACCCCCAACCCCACCAGTATTCAAATTTTGGGCGTATCTGGTATTTGTGCCAAATTTGGTCCAGGGACTGAAAATATATCCTGCATYTCAGYTATTTACATTACAATTCATAACAGTAGCAAAATTACAGTTATGAAGTAGCAACGAAAATAACGTTATAGTTGGGGGTCACCACAACATGAGGACCTGTACTAAGGGGTCGCYGCATTAGGAAGGTTGAGAACCACCGCTCTAGAACATGGCCATACAGCCCGAGAATCATCGAGTTGAAAGAGACCTCATGGGCCATCCAACCCAACCCCCTGCCAAGAAGCAGGAATATTGCATTCAAAGCACCCCTGACAGATGGCCATCCAGCCTCTGTTTAAAAGCTTCCAGAAGGAGCCTCCACCACATTCCAGGGCAGAGAGTTCCACTGCTGAACAGCTCTCACAGTCAGAGATTTCTTCCTCATGTTCAGGTGAAATCTCCTTTCTTGTAGTTTGAAGCCGTTGTTCTGCGTCCTAATAATAATAATAATAATAATAATAATAATAATAATAATAAACCTTTATTTGTACCCCGCTACCATCTCCCGAAGGACTCGGTGCGGCTTACAAGAGGCCGAGCCCAAATACAACAATAAAACAACAACAATACAGCAAAATAAACCAAAACAAAGCAATAGTCTCCAGGGAAGCAGAAAACAAGGTTGCTCCCTCCTCCCTGTGACTTCCTCTCACATATTTATACATGGCTATCATGTCTCCTCTCAGCCTTCTCTTCTTCAGGCTAAACATGCCCAGCTCTTTAAGCCGCTCCTCATAGGGCTTGTTCTCCAGACCTTGATCATTTTAGTCGCCCTCCTCTGGACACATTCCAGCTTGTCAATATCTCTCTTCAATTGTGGTGCCCAGAATTGGACACAATATTCCAGGTGTGGTCTAACCAAAGCAGAATAGAGGGGTAGCATTACTTCCCTAGATCTAGACCAGTGGTTCTCAACCTTTCCATTGCCGCGACCCCTTAATACAGTTTCTCATGTGGTGGTGACCCCCAACCATAAAATTACTTTCATTGCTACTTTGCTATCGTTATGAATCGTAATGTAAATATCTGATATGCAGGGTGTATTTTCATTCACTGGATCAATCTGGGCACAAATACCCGATACACCCAAATCTTGAATACTGGTGGTGTTGTGATTCATAGTTCACCTACAATCAAAGAGCATTCTGAACTCCACCAACGATGGAATTCACAACTTGGCACACAGAACTCCCATGACCAACAGAAAATACTGGAAGGGTTTGGTGGGCATTGACCTTGAGTTTTGGAGTTGTAGTTCACCTCCATCCATAGAGCACTGTGGACTCCCAACAATGGTGGATCTGGACCAATCTTGGCACAAATTATGCCCAAATGTGAACACTGGTGGAGTTTGGGGAAAATAGGGCTTGCCATTTGGGATTTGTAATTACTGGGATTTATAGTTCACGTACAATCAAAGAGTTTTCTGAACTCCACCAACAATAGAATTGGGCCAAACTTGACACACGGAACCCCCTTGAATAACAGAAAATACTGTGTTTTCTGATGGTCTTTTGTGACCCCTCTGATGTCCCCTCACGACCCCCCCCCCAGGGGTCCCGACCCCCAGGTTGAGAAACAATGATCTAGACACTATGCTTCTATTGATGCAGGCCAAAATCCCATTGGCTT